TTAAAAAAAAAAAAAAAAGTTTCAAATCCCAGAGAGAAAATTAATAAACGAGTAAGTCTGCAAAAATATCAAGGTTATTGGTATTTAAAATCAAACTGTGGCTGGGCATGGCTCATGCCTGTAATCCCAGTACTTTGGGACACTATGGGCAAATCACATGAGGCCAGAAGTTCAAGACCAGCCTGGCTAACACGGTGAAATCCCATCTCTACTAAAAATACAAAAATTATCCAGGTCTGGTGGTATATTCCTGTGACCCAGTTACTTGGGAGGCTGAGGCAGGAGAACCACTTAAACCTGGGAGGCAGAGGTTGCAGCGAGCCAAGGCTACGCCATTGCACTCCAGTCTAGCCGACAGATTGAGGCTCCATTTCAAAAAATTTTTCAAATAACATCAAATCATCAAAGTTGTTCAGACCTTCTCCTAACACTTGCAGGGCGCAGACTAAGAATACAAAAGACGGCCCAAATATCCTATCTCCGGGTGTATTTAAGTTGCAAAACAAATTAACAAACTGTCAGATAAAACATGCTCTATATTCCTAGCTTGACAAATGCACCCATCTAAAACACTGAACGTTTTTTTTTTGTTGTTGGGGTTGGGGACGGAGTCTTGCTTTGTTGCCCAGACTGGCAATGCAATCGTGGCTTGCTGCAACCTCCACCTCCCGGGATCAAGCAATTCTCCTGCTTCAGCCTGCCAAGTAGCAGGATTACAAGCGTGTGCCACCACACCTGGCTAATTTTTCTAACTTTTTAGTAGAGACAGGGTTTCACCATGTTGGCCAGACTGGTCTTGAACTCATGACCCCAGGTGATCTGCCCACCTCAGCTTCCTAAAGTTCTGGGATTACAGAACATTAAACTTTTAAAATTGGTTTTAAGATCTCTTTCTCCCAGGGTAAAATAAGGAGCCAGTGCCATGGTGTGCGCCTATAATCTCAGCTACCCAGGAGGCTGAGCGGAAGGACTTCTTGGCTCAAGAGTTTGACGCCAGCGTGGGCAACACAGTGAGACCTCACCTAAAAACAAACAAAAAAATGGCAAAATGGCAAGATAATTGAGTGTGACTAAGTTGAACGTGTCTGGATGCTCTGATAACCTGGTGATTTGGGGATGAATAATAAAGGTGTATATATTCCATTAATTGTTTTTTGACCTTCACTTGTTATTTTACTTTTTTCTGATACACAATCTCACTCTGTTCCCCGGGCTGGAGTGCAGGGGCACGATCTCGGCTCACTGCAACCTCCACCTCCCAGGTTGAAGCAATTCTGCCTCAGCCTCCCGAGTAGTTGAGATTATAGGCGTGCACCACCATGCCCAGTTAATTTTTGTATGTTTAGTAGAGATGGGGTTTCACTATGTAGGCCAGGCTGGTCTCAAACTCCTGACCTCGTGAACTGTCTGCCCTGGCCTCCCAAAGTGCTGTGATAACAAGCAATAGCCACTGTGCCTGGCCCACTCATGTTATTATAATTAAAACTTGCATGTAACTTATGCTCTACTGACAGTATGGATGCTTGTTCCATCTAGCCCTACATACATACAAATGTAAGAATAGCACACAACGTTCAGTATTACAAAATGTTTCTCAGGTGTTATGTGCAACTGTGGTGAATACCAGAGTAATGTAAGTATCTCGGCAATCAGAGCTGGAATGTGAAAAGAACATGAATGCTCAGCATATCAATATTGCAATTAGGCAAGAACTAATTGCTTTCATGCTATCCATGTGTAATGATTTGGCAGGCAACTGTGTTTTTTTTCTTTCCTAAGTGCTTCCTCCTCTCAAATCTGTCCTCTAATTGGAACAGGATCTGCTTTGACATCAGTGGCACAATACGCTGGGAAACAAAATGAAAGGCTTTCTAGCCTTATAGCTACTCTTTCCTGGACTGAGGCTTTCCAGCAAAGGAGATGGGAAGAAAGGCTGGCCTGCTGATGTGCACAGATTCCAGAAACATACACAAACTGGGGACACAAGGACTGCTTCCATAACAATGACGAGCACACAGCCACCTAATAGCCTGGATCATCTGAACCAGGCGGCGGATCCAGACGTGAATCGTCTGACAAACACAAGGCTTCTTAGGAAGTGTCCTAAATTGTGTTTAGGAAGCACAGCCCCTGTTGAAATTCATCAAGAGTGGGAAAGAGCCAAAGTGGGAAGGACCATGAGTTGAGGGGCACAAAAGTAGGTCTGTTGACAAAGAATGGAAGTAAAGAGGACATCAGGTTGAAGCTCTGTGCTGTGAGTCAGAAGGACAATTTATAAGTTGCCTATAGAGGCCCACACCGTCTGTTTCTGCCAACCAGCTGGAAGGGAACCTCAGTTCTTGCCGATTGGCTGGAGCCCTTCACAGAATGTCCCCCACCCCTACCAGTACCTGCTGCAGCGCCCCTCCCCCTCTGCAGAATGTCTGGGATCCTATGTTCTAAACCTATTTACTTTCAAATTTTCCCTGATCCACCTGAACTCAGGAGAATCTGTTGAGGCAGGTCACTCTCTGGGTCCTGCCCTTGACTCTTCTCATTGTGGAAACTGTCAGGCAGCGGTGATCAGCAGCCAGCCTGAGGGGATGGCTTCAAATGGAGGTGAGTCTGTAGGGAAAGGGGCATTAACCAAGTCTCTGCCATGTTTCAAATCCTTGGGAATTCAAATTTCACACTGCCCCAGGAGACAGTTGGTAGGGCTGACGTTGAGGGAGGGACGGAGCACTAGATGTCCCCAAAGACATCACACCTGGGGAGGGCCATGGCACCCTGAGTCTGTAGTTAGGGAGGACAGCTCCTTAGAGTTGGACCAAGGTGCCTGGGGAATACACCGTGTAGGGGAAAGGATGGAGTGGATGTATTGATTCTTTCTAAAGGGGGACGGGTCACGTCACCGTGTTTGTAGGGAGTGGTGGGATCGAGTTGTGCTGGTGGCCGAAGGAGGATGACAGACAAGTCTGAGCCCTGTTTTGTGTCTTCAGGCTCCTGGAAGGTGTCCTTCCATAGTGTTCAGAGGGATTTGGACTGGACTTTTTTAGATGTTAGGGAGGAGTGGGGAGAAGTGGTCTCAGCCAGAAAACTGTTGGGTGGGTTGTCTGTGACAGAGCATGCAATGACAGCCTCTGGGTGGGCGAGGCTGGGGGTACTGTAACTGCCACAGCCTCTCAGCTCCCTCCCCAGAGGTGGCTTCTCTGTCAGTTCAGGTGGCTGTTGGCTCTGATTTAACAGGGGTGGGGGCAGTTGGGGAAGTTCAGGCAACACGGCCTGGGCTTCCCAGGTTGTTCTGAATTGTTCGTCGTTTTGTGGAAGCTCAGGTCTTCAGACCCACTTCCTCTTGTCTACTACCTCATGGCCTGTCCTCTGCACTTTGTGTTACTGTGGAGATGAAGGATTTGCTTCTATTCCATGTCTTCTGCCTCATGAACAGGGGGCAGGTGTCGACTCTTGCGGGTTCTCAGTGGAAGGGTCTGGAAAGATGGTTTCCTTTTCAGTAGAGGAAGGAGAGTAGCGCACAAATAGGAAGATGGTCCTCTTATTATTATTATTCAAGTTAGGGTGTGTGTCCTGACTGATGAGGTGCACGTGCTGTATCCCTATCCCCCTTGACTGGAGACTGCATGAGGTCCTAATGAACAGTGATGAGCTCCAGACAACTTTGCCCACCTAGCCTGTGGCCCAAGAACCTCTGATTCTTGGTTGGTCACTATATTCAGTTACTGGGAGCTCAAAGGAAAAGGACCAGAGATGGGCTCGCTGTCCCACGACCTACTGTAACATGACCAGCAGCTGTGAAAATCCCC